ATGGTGCGGATGATTATAACGGTAGAATCTCTCGGATGTGTGGATAGAAGAAATAGATTATTTTTTGAGATTTACCTTACTACGGTATAAATCTCTTTCGACATAATTTAGATGTCATACATATTGAGACAAATGTATTTAATATTGTTTTTAACACAATCATGAATGTGTTGGGTAAGACTAGACGATACCAACTCTAGAGAAGACATGAAACTTTTTTGTAAAAGCTAGAATTAACAAAGGATGCTCGCATCTAAGAAGTATCCTAAGTTGCCTTTACTCGTATCTAAATAACAAAAAACAAAATCACTTGAATGGATCAAACTCAAGTTTCTCGATGGATGTATGTCCAATCTAGCTAGATGTGTTGACATGCGACATGAAAAACTTTATGGGATGAAAATTCATGACTTTCACGTCTTCATACGGAGGCTACTTCCAATTACATTTCGAGAGTTTTTATCAAAAAATGTTTAGCAAGCACTTACAGAGTTAAGTTTGTACTTTAAGTAATTGATTTCTACGGTGGTAAGGGAAGAAGATACACTACGACTTAATAATAAGATACCCATCATTTTGTACAAATTAGAGCGTATATTCCCACTCAATCTTTTTGACTCCATGAAACATCTTTCAATCTATATGCCATACGAGGCATCTATTGCAAGACTTGTGCAATATCGGTGGATGTATCTAATTGAAAGGTATTAACATTGAATTTAAATATAAAATTAAATAAACATATATTTCGAGTATCTATGAAAGCTAAAAAATAATGTTAAGAATAAGGCTAAAGTGGAAGGATCAATATGCAATGCATATTTGGTCAAAGAAATCTCTTTGTTTTACTTGTACTATTTCTAGCCTCACGTGCATACTTGGACATCGAAACTCGTTGCACAATGTTGAGTACGACGAAGAAAAAAGTGACCACATTGAAAGGATATTATCCATATTTAAACAATAAGATCGATTGATTAGTCGACACACAATATAGAAATTGATATAAGTCGAACACAAAGCAGTCCCATCAATATATATTATTGAACTATGAAGAAGTAAAATTTTACATTGAGTGATTTTGTCAAAATTCAAATTCTAGATCATACATATTTTATTACATACAATAATATTAGCAATCATAGTAGAGACTGATTCACTTTTGTTATTAATTCTCTTTAGTGGATTTTTTATTGAATGCGATTGAAAAATCCCTTCATCTTCGAGAATGAGGCCAATGCTCTAATTGAAAATGAGTTTGCCTCTCGGTTTAATTAATATATGAGTATTATCATTTTATTCATATTTAGTATATTGATAGCATTACTTAAAAGGTAACTAAACTTTTAGGGGATTTTATGTTTAATTTACGGATATAAAATGGACAACCAATTTCCTTGAAAGACTAGCTCTTAAAGATCTTACACAAGGCTCGTTGCTTACTATCGGATTATACATCGGTTATTTTGTTAATGGTTATAGGTTTTCTACACTTGAGGGATCTTTAAAAACAAGGTCTTTTAATAGTGGTGTCTGCATTAAAGAAAGCAATTACAATACAACCGAGAGTGACTATTACGGGGATACTGATAAAAATTCTTGAAATAGAGTATCTTGTATTACCAATAAGGAAAATAGTATTGTTCAAATGTGATTGGTTCGATTCTACACCACAAGGAACAATCATCCGCAGTATAAACTTATGGATGTTAACTATAAGAGAAACTTAAACAATTATGAATCATTTATCCTAGTATCACAATCGAATTAAGTGTATTATATCGAGTACCCTAGCTTGAGGTATGAGAACCAAGATTAGTGAGCTATGTGTAAGATCAATGTTAGGTCCGTATTTGGCTTGCACGATTCATCAATTATCGTCTAATAAAATGCTGAAACCTTTCAGCAGAATGATTCAAAAATGATGTAATTTTTGTTTCTTTATTAATTTGATACATGCAATAAATAATATCGGTTTTCATACATCTTGTAAATGTTTATTGTGTATTTTGATTATTTTGTATTAGTAGCAAATGATGTATTTTTTATTTTTTATTAACTTATTCTCATAATATATTTGTTATATTTTGTTTATTTGTTTAATCTCGGATCATATAGCAATGACTCATGGTTTGGATCACCTCCACGATCAATACGGAATCATGTTTCAATAATCATAGATGAGCATCTCCATTTGATGGTAGTCCACTAGGATCCTCTACCACTATCGATCATGGATCTCCGACTACGGGGTTTTTACATGGATTCTACGGCTCTCACGGCCATGGAGTTGGCATATCTATAACGGCCATATAGGATGTGTTTCTGCACCAGCACCATATGCTCGAGGACCGGTACCGGAGGTTCCAACATCGACCTCCGAGAGTGCCCCATCTCGCTGGTGTATCCGGTGTTCTAAATAGTTCCCGAGCTCCTTCGATCGACGTCATATTTCTATCGCTCGAGGACGATATGTAATTATTTTTTTACTTTAATTTATCATTTCAATAATTTTTATATTTTTTAATTTTTTTTTTGATAGTATATAGTTTCACTTCACTTAGTAGAGATTATGCCATGAGGATAACTATGATTTTTAAGGAGTGGTTGGATGCTAGTGGAACGACCGGGAAGTACGTGTCCGACGTACTAAACAATCCTACTTTAGTGAATTTAGGATAACATATTCTCAATTTTATTTATAATTAAAATAAAATTTTTTCATTAAATAAAGTTGTTAATATTAATTTTTTTGTTTATGTAGAAATATTTTAATTAGGATTCGGCCATTGAAGAGCTTATCGGAGCGGCACGAGAGGCTCGGCAAGAAAATGCTACATTGACTTCATCTACAAGTGTAGTTTGTTTTCCAATCGACTCGCTTTTATTAGACGGGAGGTCCGAGATACGTGGTGATTAGATTTTATGAGACTCGATCGCATGGCTTGTTCGGAACAAGCATTGTGATATTGGTTGTCGAAGACTAATGGTCCTAATGTGAGTCCTTCTAGGCATACAAGGGTCTCCATATCTACGAAAGAGCTTGTCCGTCGCTTGGTAAATTGTATATTTTTTTTAATTATAAATTACTTATTTCAAAAAATTTCAATTTTTATCTCATATTGTTTGTAATGCATTTTTTTCGGGAGGTAAGATTGGGCCGTGAGCCACGAGTTTTGAGTTGTTTCAAATGACTCACAAGTAAATAAATGGTTCTTTCATCGATTTATGCTCCTAATAAACAATGGTAAGTATTTTTCAAATTTAAATTTTATATATAAAAACATAATTTAAAATATTTTATATGTGGAAAGACAATCTAAAATTTATTTTAATCCTATAATGATTATATCATTATTTTGATTAAGCGAGGAGCATGTTGAAGATTTCATCTAGGAAGTAGTTGCGATGCCACGAGCAAAAGGAATCTTGGAGCCGAAGTTGACAAGAATACCATACACCTCGATGCTGTCGGGAAGGGAAAAAAAGAGTATATGGTGTAGGCATACGGGTGGTGCATTACTTATCCTAGTTAGGTGGTAGCAACTCCTCCTCCGTATCGTCGCATTTCACCGTTGACCCCGCTCATGACGACCTTCGGAGGTATTGCGAATTGATGAAAGGGATGCAAGTCAAACAAGACGAGCTTCAAAACCTAGTTACAAAGTAGGAGAGCACCATACACGAGCTTAACTCTCACTATGAGCTGATGGCCTCCTTAATGATGAGGCTAGCACAAACAATTAGGTTGCCTATAGATTCGTCTACTAATCAACGAGTCCATGGTTCCTCCCACCCAACCTCCCGACCAACCTCATACCCGGCCTCTTTCCTAACCTCCCACCGAGCCACCCACCCTGTATTAGGAGGAGGATAGGAGATTAGACAAGCGAGGATAAGCGATAGAACATTTTGTTATCTTGTGTTTTTTTCAAACGTACTACTAAATATTGTTATTATTAATATTGATTTATATTTAATCTATACGTTATTACTTGTAATTGTTAATTATTACATATAATATTAATAATTTAAAAACAAATAAACAAAAAAAATGTAAAAAAAGTTAACAACGGAATAGTGAAGGATTTTCGGAAAAAATACATACTTATTGCGATAGAATAGCGACGGACTAGAGATGAATTGACGACTACTCTACTTACCTTTGGATATTAGCGATGACATGTCGGTTGTTAATTAATGACAGATTTAGTGATGGAGTAGCAACGTCGGACATGACGAGTTCTCACGACCAATATAGCACAAATTGTGAACTATAGCGACGAAAATTCCATCACGAGATATAGCGATGGAATATATTTTGCCATTGCTGATTTTAACGACAAGCTTTTCAGCGATGGACATGATTTTCGTCGCAAATACCTCACTAGTCTAATTCATCAATGGATTTTGGTTAATTAGTGACGAAATAATGCGTCGCTAACTCGTGTATTGTTTTATAGTGATATCTGTTAATAACTAATTTACAAATTCAAATAAGTGAATTATAACATTTAAATTCAAATAGTAATTGTTAATCTTATCCTTGTAAACTCTGTACTACGGTGAATGTATCTAATATGTATCTAATAGAAATATTCAATTCACAAAGCATATCAGCCTCTTTAAAATCTGGCACAATTTTTCACCTTAAATTTGTAGAACACAGGAATTTGATTGAGACTTGAGACTGTATATCAACTCATCTAACTTGACGGCTTTTGGAGGTTTACGTTTGCAAGCCTAGGCTTTCTGGTCTTGTGCACTTTTTTCTTGTTTAGAACTATTTCAGAAAACCATGTACCTGAAGTATGATGATACAAAATTAGTGGAGTTGATACCCCCACGACGCTCTTCCTCTACCAAATATCTCAGGCTATAAGACATTGTCATCCTCCTAAGATTAAAACCCACCCTTTTCTCTAACTCTTCCATAAATTCTTTGTTTTTTGGATCAAGTTTGGACACCCAGTTTTTCATAAAAAAAAGCTTGAGTTAACCCTTCCTGCTGGAGTTCTTGTTTTTGACTTCTTGAACCAAATAGGATAGTACTCGTTATTGAAAAGTGACAGTAATCCAGTAAAAACTTCTTGAACCAAAATTGTTGTTGTTTCTCCGTTGCTGCATGCAATAATAGATAAAAAACAAGAAGACAGTAGAGATATGAACTAATCTTTTCTTCTCAAATGTTATATATACATATATAACATTCCCAATTTCTGATTCTCCACATAAAAGCATAAATAAAGAACCACTTTAAAATTCCCAAGTTTTGTACGAAATTTTCTCAAGGAATGAATCAAATAGATGTACTAACACTTATAAAATTTATGAAGGTCCAACTCTTCTGGTTTTTTTTTATTCGACAGTAATATCCTCGAACTTGGGATCAGATTAAACATCAAGTTAGATTATTTGTAGTGGATAGTATTGCACCCCTCCCCACCCCCCACAAAATACAAAAAGAAGAGAAAAGGGAGGGTATTTAAAAGGCTGCCGTTATATACGTGCAAAACTGTCTATTGAATTGTACTGGAACATTGTATTAATTCATTAACTCCACTAATAATTTATAGTTAATTGTTGCATAGTTCTTTGCTTTCAATTCAATTCCTCAAGTATCTGTAGATGAAACATTTTATTAATTATCCCATCATTTAAATTACTATCCATGTTATATGAAGATTTAATATTAAATTCGTCTCTATTGACTTTATCAAGAATTGTTATTCATAAAAAAAAAAAAAAAAAACAAGAATTAAACTATAGATAACACAGTGAATGCTTTAACAGTTGATATAAAATTAACATTTTAAATAGATATATTTAGGTTTTGACTTTTTGTTATTAGGTGTAAGTATTTGGTTATTCAATTTTAGTTTCGAAAAATTCAATTTAGTTTTCCATTAGTTGAACTCACAAAAATCAAAATTGAATCAAAATCAAAATATTATTCTATTTTGTTTAAAAAACATAATTATTTTTTAATATAAAAATGATATATATGTTTTTTCTTAAAAAAAAAAAACTAAATTTACCATGAGTTAAATCTTCTATGTTCATTTAATAAATTAAACCACCAATTTATCAAACTAGAGGTTGGATATGCAGCCAGCTCGCTAGATTATCAAAAGAAAAGACCTCGCGATTATCAAACTAGAGGTGGATATGCATGCAGCCTCATTAATTGGATTGGCATGTTGGTTAGATTATCCTAAGTTTTAACCATTTTTACATCAACAAATTTAAATCGTCCTTGTCTCTTGAAAAGGCTTTGGACTGCACAAAAAGAAAAAGAAAAAGAAAAAAAATCCTCTCCATTACATTACATTTAAGAAAATCAAAGTTATTGAAACTCGAAAGCAATTCATTAAAGAAAACTATTACGTGTGTAACTTCCAGATCAAACCTCAATGTTTTCTCTTCTTCAATTTTGATTTTGTACTGCACATCATTCTTCAGGATTCTGTGCCCTGGAGAAAGGGTAAAGAAACCTCAGGGGCCGGGTCAGTAGTACGTACAAGGAATTAATTACACTAAAGTTGGCGACCAGTGCTTGCTTAATTTCAAGTTCCAAACCCATTCATTAAATTTTGAGCATGGTTTGATTTATGGAAGTGTTTGAATAATAGCTTGGTGTTTGGTATGTATGAAAATTGAGTATTAAAAAGAAAATGACAAGAATTAATTAGTTATGGAGACATGAATTCATAACCAAAAAAAAAAAAAAGGTTTCGATTGTTTTAAACTTATTTTTCTATTAGAAAATAATTTTCACTAATCAAGTTTTTCAGCCACACGAGAAAATGAAAAAAATATTTTATGAAAGTATATTTTACGCGAAACAAATGTAGACTAAATATTCATTTATTCACTTTCTATGAAATTACATGTTATTTTTCAAGTAAAAAAAATATATTAAATTATGAAATAATATAAACTTGGTATATATATGGATTTGGGGTAATGATTGATTGGACATTTTTAAGCTGGTAATCAATGGTTTATACTTTTCCATCTAAATTTTCTTTTTTCAAATATTTGATAGAAATTTCACATCGTGTATATCAGAATGGACAAAGGGATGGAGTAATGATAAAGTTAAGAGCAAAGACTTGATATTAGGAGATTCAAATTAATAAAAACTAGCAATAAAAGGATACATAAACTTTCAGCCATTCATAATCATAATTGATCCATATTTATTTAAGGTTGAGGGGTGTCTCACCCACATAGAGCCATGCCATAGACCACAACTAGTTAATTAGAAACCCCAATTTTTTAATTTAGAAATTCTTTTAGCACAAAACATGCAATATTTTAATGTTCATTCAAATAGTAAAAACCCAAACTTTATATTTTTTGAATGAAAATAAATTACAAACAAATTTTTCTTACAAAATTTACCTACATAATGATGTATAAACTTATTTTTTGATAAAGTACTTATCATAAAAATAAAAAATTATTAGTTTACGACTCAATAAATAATTGTTGAGAGTCACGTTTCTTTGTGAGTTTGCAAAAGGATTTTGTATAAAAAGACTTTTGAAGTAAGAGAAATTAGTCTTCTATTAAATTTATGCACTTAATGAGTGCATTGATCTTGAATTAAAAAAAAATAAATAAATAAATAAAAAAATAAATAAATAAAAATTCGCTCTTCCAACATCGTTGGACCTTTTAGTATTGTCAAATGTGTCAAAATTGGAACTCATAGCTGACTTCTAGATGAAAAGAAAAGCTACAATTTATGACAATTAAGAGCATCTTCAATAGTGCTCTCTATTTTAGCTAGCATTTTTTACGTAAATTGAAAGTATCATTAATTATATAGATTGAAGATCAATATTCTCTCTAATGCTATTCTCTACTTTAACTTTTTATTTTGACAAAATTAATAAAACCTAGAGAGACTATTGGTAAAGAGGTTGAGTGACATAGAAAATAATACTTTTCATTAATGAAATATAAGATAAAGAGTCATTTGGACTCTTTAGTATTGGAGAGCCAAAGACACTCTTTATCTCAATTTTAAAAATATAGATTGTGATAAAGAGAGAATTGAAGATAGAATTTGGGCCAAACCTCTTTATTATAAAGAAAAATCTTAATATAAAGAGAGCATTGGAGATGCTCTAATGAGAGAAAGAAAGAAAGATTATTGAACAACGTGCTCGTTAGGAGAGGTTGATACTTGAGACAAGCTACAACGTGCTCGCTAGGAGAGCTTGATACTTGAGACAAGCTAACACTCGTTTAGAGTGGCCCGTTGTAGTAAATACGTAGCATTGGGTTGGTTACGCAAGGGGTTCCATTAAATATTCCACTCGGGCCAAGGAAAACTCAAAAAAGACAACGAATAGGATTAGGTTAGGCTCATCTTGTTGCTTTTCAATTTATTGAAGGAAACCTAAGTAGAAACAACGATTACCTTGGTTATAAGGAGAGATCATAAATATGGATTTCTTTATCTACACAAATTTGACTTAATCTAGATGGCGTACTACAATTGCATTGCTTTTTCTTTTCTTTATTTTCAATTAAATATATTTAATTTTGTATGCATAAATGAAATTTAATGATGAAAAAAATCATAATTCTCATTCAAAATAGCATAATATATGTTCTTCACGCTATCATCCGTAAGTTAGAGTTAAAAAAAAAATATATTCAACGAATAACCAATAATACTTAGTTCATGAATAAAAAAAAGCATAAAAAAGAGAGAAAATCTCATGAAATAATTAAGCAATGTATTATCTCTTAATTTCTTGTATCCTAACTAAATATTGTTAGTAAATTTTGAACTTGTTGCTAAATAAATTCTATTATCAACTAAATAAGGTAGATATTAACTATATAATGGTAGTCCGTTGATAAACAAGTGTTGACTTATAGGTTAATTAGGCCTAAGGTTTGATTCTTGTAATCAATACTCCTAAAAATTTATTCTTAGAATACCTAAGACCGTACTTTAGGGAGTGCCTTTTAGTTACGTCTAAAGAGGAATTAGTATCGAGGTATGCGAAAGTCGACAATGCTTACTTCATAGCACATTCAACGCATTTCAGCTTGCTTTAAGTACCAACCATTTCCACGCATAAAGATAACATATTTTTAATTTTGAGGAACAACGAGGACAATTAGTAGCTAGGCACCCCGGGGGGGTGTAGGAGGTAATGGCGAGGGAAGAGAAGATTCTAGGCATCGGTGATGAGTTACAAAAGATCTTGGATTCCCACATGGACACAACACTAGAGAGACGGAGATGAGGCTTGGAATCGATCATTGCTTTGAAGGTTGTTTTGTAAGTTTGTTTTTCTTTTTTTTTTTTTAGAGATGTGGGTGTGTTTAATTGTGTTGGATAGATAATGACTTCGATGATTATAATAATGTGTTTGATTAAAATTATTGCATGTATGACCTAAGTAAGCTAAATATTTTGACCTGTAAGTTTCTTTCTTTTATAAACAATACATGTTGGCATTTAAATTCTTATCATCTCACATCTTATGTGAATATAAATCTTTGCTTATATTTTTATTGAACTTTGCATTATCTCAACAAACCCAACAACTTGTTTCATGTTGAACCTAAATGTTTAAGGTCATCGCATGGCCCATGATTTGATTTCCTCGAGGAAGAAGTGATCTTGAATTATCTCAACAAGCCATTAACAACCATGAGAATTCTTTCCTCATAACGTTGGAAGACAATTAACTTGCTATTTAATTTGAAGGATTTAATATGGTAGATCTCATCCTAACATCTATACTAGTCATCAATCACATTAATCCTATCATGCATACTAAATATCGTAAAATAAAAGCATACATCTCATGCATGACTCAAGGATTGGTAAATGGTATTGGATCTCCACTACTAATCCTTTTGAGTCACAAGGAACCTAGTAGGTCAAATTCCTACGTGAAAAATTATTAATAATTCTTTGGGATTATCTTCACTTCTTGGCTTTTTCTCCTTGCATATATTCTAATATTCTATCTTCTACTTTCATATTTATTTAAATAAGAAACCTTGAGTTACATTCGAGAGAAGTAAGACGAGAAGAGAAATACAATAGAATGATAGAGAAGGCGGGACACGTAGATTCTATTTATCTAAAAAATAACAAACATTCATTCTTATAAACTAGGTTGACTTATCCATACCATTCAATCATGCTTCAATCAAATTGATACATGGTATTCTAATGAAACACATTTCATTTTAATTGTAATTATAAATTTATATTTTGGTCATTTTATAAAATTATCAAATTTTTCTAAATTTCAATTTAAAGACCTTTTGGCCTTGGGCCCATAGGCTTTTAGGCCTTGAGTGCCCATGGGTTGCCATGCCGAAGCCACGTATGCCGGGCTTGTTGCTTAGTGCTCGCCTTACTCATGTACACACCTTGCTCACACCTAACGTGCACTAGGCACTTCTCGGCTCGACGCACACCGAGTGTACGCTTGCCATGTCATGTGCCCAACGTATGACTTGGCTCGCCAAGCATGCTTGGCATGTCACACACCTTGTGCATGACTAGCCTTAGTTAGAAGGCTTGGCATGCATGCCTTTCGGGAGGCCTAGTGTGTGCTAGGCACGCTTGGCCTATAATACACCCAACATGCAACTAACCACCAACCAACCTACTTATTTGTGTGTGCAAGTGCCAATATCCAACATTAGCCTTACATTCCTCATTCTTTTATTTACAATAGGAATTGATAATTCATGTAGTTAATCATAATTAATAAAGTATATAATTAAAGATTCAACGAATGCTCTAATACCAATTGAAGGATCATGCATCCTATGAAGGTGTGGAATAAAAGAAAAAATTTTCCTCCATCTAAGGCTCCCAAGATCAAGCCATTGAATCAACTAATATATATATATATATATATATATATATATATATATATATATATATATGAATTAAAGCATGAGTAAAGGATTACCTCTTGTAGCATAAAATTTAACCTTTCTAGAAAAGGAGTCGTCTAGTTGCACGACCTCTATTGATAATATACGCAGTCTAAGCACCCATACAAGAAGCACTCGAAGTAGTAGAATGGTAGCTCCATATTTTTATGACTTGTTGTTTAGTATTTTCTCTTTAGAAATCAATTCAAGGATATTTTATGACAACCCTAAAATAGAGGGGAGAGGTGGTGTGTGTGTATGGAAGGAGAAAAATATTTTCTACCTTTTATTTCTTTTTGCCTTATAGCTACTAGCTTACTCTCTTCTTTTTGCTGCACCTCTTATTGTATCTATACGGAAAGTGTCTTTGGTGTACTCCGGGGACAAGGAAGTTGTGGCAATTAGTACAATATGAACTCTAGGTTGTTGCTTTCTAGTCCTCCAAGGATTAAGATTTATTATGCCCAGGGCTTTTTGATCTTATCCTTTTAAACCTTGATCCTTATCCTATAAGGCTCACATTTATCCTTCCATCAAAATATTTTACGGGCTTTTAATTAAACCTATTGCTCCAAACTCTTTTGGCCTAATTAATTACTAATTAATTTAGACTATCCAAATAAATTAGGTTAGATATTTTTAGGAGGCCCACATTAGGAAATAATTTTCCAAATTAATTAAACCTATTGGCCCAAATTTTTTGACCTAATTAATTTAGACTATCCAAATAAATTAGGCTAGAAATTTTTAGGAGGCCCATATTAGGAAATAATTTTTCAAAATTACCCTTAAACCTAAATTAAGAAACTAATTTTCTTTTTAGGTAACTTATTTCTAAATTTAGAATTGACTTCCAAATTAGGAAACTGATTTCTAAAATAGAAAACTTTTTATTTTAGAAAAATTTTTATTTTCGAAAACCTTTTCCAAAATTGAAAACTTTCAAAATTGAAAGCCTTTTTCAAAATTTTTGCTTCTCATTTATTATGTGAATGCTTAAATTTTGCATATGACTCAATAGGCTCCGAGATATGTTGGCAATGTATCAAGAATAAAAGATACCTCTTTTATTACTTGATACAACACCTCGTTTATCACTTGATACATAAATCAACCTTGGCATCTAGCAAGGTGTCTTGACTACTCTATCCTTTAAGAGGATTAATCAATCCATAATTACCTCTCACAAGCATGGTTATCATACAATTCAGTCTTCATGTCAATTTATTATAGTATGAACTTGAACTTAGTTATTAGTCCGTTCAATTATATCACATAAGTTTTCTTTGATTCTCAAATGCATTAGCTCTTAGAGTAAATCAATTATGCTCTATTGGTGTACTTCTATTGTGGTCACAGATTTCTTGAATAGACATTTATCGAAGTGTAATGTTATAACTCCTTTGACATATAAGAAATGACATGACCTATCTTAGTCATCCACTTATCTCCATTAGATTCTCGGTGTACCTAATGAATCACCTACGTATAATCATTTTACTAGATCCATCGAAATGAGTGTTCAAGTATATAAATCCTCTAATGAGATAACCATAATGACTTCAAGTCAAAGGACCAATTGTACCCATCTCGTATGGGATTCCCATAGACTAAACCAAATAAGTTTTCATGACGAGTCAAATCCAATGATATGTTCTCTAACATAAATCACCTAAGTGCTTGCTTTGGCATCATTATGTCAATAGGTGTGAGATCTCCTACTATTATCATATAGCATGAGCATAGCACTCATAAGTCTAATCGCATATAATCAATGTCCATTCTTGATAGTACTACAACTTGAGATGTTTAATGATATCATTTTAAGTACGTTAACATTTATCTCACATCTTTCGATCAATTATTAATACAAATATATATCATATAGATTTTTATCTAATACTCTTCAATTAATAAATATAAATAATAAGATTAATAAAAAGACTTCTTTTATTATTAATAAAATAAATAATTCAATGTTACAATAACTCAAACCATCCAATCAAGGTTGGATCTTGGGCATCTACACTAAAAAATAGCTACTTAGACTAGTATTAGAATGGCATTATATGAAGCCTTACATGGGCAAAGGTGTCGATCACCAATCACTAGGACGATGTCGGTTAGCGTAAGTCGTTAGGCCCAAAAATGGTTCAAGAAATAGCTAAATTCATCAAGCAAATCAAATTAAGACTGAAATTGGTGCAAAGAAAATAAAAAAGTTATGCTAATGTTAGAAGAAAAGACTTGGAATTCGAGTGGTGATTAGGTGTTCCTATAGGTAGCACCAATGAAGGGAGTAATGAGGTTCCGGAAGAAAGAACAGCTAATTCCAAGATAAATTAGACCATTTGAGGTATTGGAGATTGTGCTTTCAAATTAGCTTTTTTTCATCTCTCTCCTTAGTACATAACGTATTTCATATATCTATGTTACGAAAATATATGAAGGATCCGAGCCATATCCTAAAGGATGAATCACCGGACCTCTAACCTAATCTAAGTTATCGGGAAGGACCAATTCAAATCTCAAATTGGGAGATAAAGTAATTAAGGAATAAGCAAATCCCTCTCATGAAAGTGTTACGAAAAAACCATAATATGGAGGAAACAACATGGGAGCGAGAGGAAGAAATGAGAGTTAAATACCCAAAATGGTTTAGTTGAGGAATTTTGATGATGGAATTTTAGTAAGAAGAGGAGGGATGTAATATCCGTGACCTAAAAACCTTCTTGAATGTAAATATATTATAAAGATATTTTATTTAATTAATAGAAGTATGTTTATTAAATATAAGGAATAAAAGTTTAAACTTTAATTAAAGATGAAATAAACATATATATGATCAAACAGGTAGATTAATGGAATGAGTAAAGCTTGAATTAGAAATTGGTACCATTAATTGATATGGTTATATTTTAACCTACGGAGACAATTGCAAAACCTAAGGGTATAATAGTAAAGATTAAAAGTTTAGGTACTTAATTAAAATGATTAAGAAACTTTAAGGGCTTAAGTTAGCTTTGGAAAAGGCCTAAGATAAGGGCTAAATTGAGGAAAATTATGAGGTCACAAACTGAAATTGAAGAGGTTGATTACAAAGATTAAAAATTTAGGGATTAAATTGTGAAGTGCTAGTGTTTTAGGGAAAAATTAAATGATTTTGAGGAGATCAATCTAGAACCTATTAGGCTAGAAAATGAGGAAGAAATATCTTCCTAAATTTGGCAAAGGAGAGGGAAGAAAAGGAAGAGAAAAATCAACCAAGAATCTAAGGTAAAAAAAAGGAAGAAAAGAGAAAAATGAAGAGAAATCTAGAAAAAGCATTAACTCGCTATGGTTTAAGATCGAACCAAG